TAAAAAAAAAAAAAAAGTAGTGATGAGGGTAGTTTTTTGTGAAATACGCGGGAGGCGGAGGGTAATCTGATAATTCCGAGTTCGTGTCCATTAAGAATCTATTTATAATCAACACCTTCGATTTTTCTCTGCAATTTTCACTTGCTTCTTTCCGAGCCACATACTGCCTGCTGCTGTCCTTATTTCTACAGAGGGAGGGAGGGAGAGGTGAAGAACCCAGATAGAGAGAATCAAGAAATCTGCAAAAGATTGGACGTAAATTTAATTAATCATCAGTGAACTATAATCAAATTAAAATGGAAGATGACACGTGGAGCTTTGGTCTCTCTACTTCTTCTTCAAGGAGCCATCAATCAGTTCTCAAGTCTCTTTCTGGTCAGTTCGAGATTCATCTTTTTTCTCCTCTTATTTATATTTGGTATTTTTCTTTCTGTTCTTGTCTTTTCTTGTAGGGGTTTTTATTTATTGTTAATCCTGAGAAATGGGTTGTTGTTGAAACAGATCTTTGCATTGATTTTGAAGAGATAGAAGAAGAAGATGATGATGATGATTTAAGGACGGAGTATCAGTGTCCTTATTGTACAGATGATTTTGATTTAGTTGAGCTGTGCTTCCATGTTGATGTGGAGCATTATTTAGAAGCCAAGTCTGGGGTATTTTACTTTACCATTTTGCTCTGTAATAATATCTTGTCCCTTTGATTTATTGCGTAGCTTCCTTGTATTGACTGCTTGCTGGGCAACCTTTTAATGCTTTTCACCGCTCTGTGTTGATTGCTGGGTAGAACCTTTCGAATCATTAACTGACCATCTTTCTCTTTATAATAGTAAAAGGGGCGGAAAAGTTTGGTATACCTATTGAATGCCTTTTGTAGTTCAGCTTTTATGCGTTTATAACCTGGGCCGTGTGCTTTATCAAAGAGTTGTCGGACTTGTTTGATATTGAATCCTGTTTGCATACTATATGCTTTTTTTGTTTTTTGTTTTTTTGTTTTTTTCCTGTAAATAAAAAACAGAAAGGGTGATTGTAAACAATCATTGGTAAAATGTTAGCAGTTAAATCTTAAGACTTTCTTCTTTGTTTGGGATTTTCTTCTTCTTACACACCGTAGGTCAAGTTTTGATGTTATCTTCATTGAAAATGGCATGTTATTCAACAGAGGCTTGAGCTTCTTACTAATGCGCAATTTGTTATTCAATTTTCTGCAAATGATTTAGAACATTCTCCTTTGGATTATGATATTGGCTTTCACCCCATTTCTCTTACACTAAACTTGATGTGGGACGTGTATCAACAAGTCTAAATTCAAGAAAAAGTGTAGTCATTTCAAATGGCTTTTGTGATGAAAATTTGCACAATTTTTTATGCAATGGTTAGATCGGGTTGAAATTTTCCTAGTGTGTTCTACATGCTTGGTTCTATAGGGGTAGCTGGCTAAGCCTTAGCCAACGAAGGTCCTCATTGTCATGTCCAAATTAGGCCTAGAAGATGTTCTGGATTTTTCTTTATTTTCCCAGCTATTTTTGGATTCCTTTCCTAGTTAGGTTACAAAATTTTAATTTGATTTGGTTTTAATTAGCTAGGTCAGTTTAGCCACTATTTAAACAACTTTTTAGCTTATTTCTCAAAACTGTTAAGATTGATTATTCAACAATTTATTAATTTTTTGCTTTGGAGTTCTCTCTACAGTTTAGGGCTGTAAACTTAGGGCTTGAAAAACTATAGTTCTTTCTTTCACTATACACTATGTCAATTGATATCAGAGTAGGTTAGCTTGTTTGATGGACATAGACGTTAGTAATAACTTCCCACCCCGCGTTGAAGGAATGGAAGCCATCTGGGACATTATGAGGGCTTGAGAGACAATGTGGAGAACCCTATTATAAAGATTTGATCGATTGGATCAACTGACTAAGGGAGGCACAACCAAGTATTGTAATGAGGAGATGGATGTGCTAAGAGACTTTACTTCAGGGCGAACCCCCCCATATCTATTCTTGCGGACCTATATAGGCATCATGACTACATGGAGAGTGCTGTTTATGTTAGGCGATGCACTCAACCTTTTCATAAACGTGTTCTTAATTTTGATGAAATTCCTTTTTTATAATGGGGATTTTTCGAAGAAAAGATTTAATGGATGGTTATCAGAGTTGTACTTTTTATTGAAGAAAATTCCTAGTTATTAGAAGGGTCAAAGAAGCAAGATTGTGTTCCTCTTGAGGTTGATAGCATTCAAGAGCATATTAACTATGAGAATCATCAAAACAAATCTATGAATACCGAGCATTCTTATGATTCCAAAGAATAGGAAATATTGATAGATGTTGCTGAGGTGAATGCCTATTATAATGTTGTTTAATCAAAGCAAAGTGGGGAACACAATATCAGCTACTTAAAACAACGGCGTTATTGCTTATTTTTCATATAGTTAAGATTGATTTATTAAGAACTTTTCAGTTCAGAGTTTTCTCTATAGTTTAAGGTTGTAACTCTAGAGCTTGAAAAATCCTAGTTCTTTCTTTCACTATACGCTGCATCAAAGCTAATGGAGCACGTTTCATTGAATTGCTATTTTATCTTAATTATGTTGAGTTATACCTGAAAAGAGAAATTCATCTAGATGAATCTGTTGACAAACCTAAACTGATGCCTATCTGTTTTGTTAAGAGAAAGGCAGGGAGACTTGAGTGAATCTGTTTCTAGCTTGCTAGCATGTGTGAGGTTCACTTAATATGTTTTAATCATAAGTATAATGGGGATCTTTGTGCACATGTCATAGCCAGCTTGATATATAATTTTGGAAGTACAATTTGCTTACAATCACTGATATTTGTTTGCAGGTATGCCCTGTTTGTTTCACCAAGGTGGGGGTGGATATGGTTGATCACATAACAACAGAACATCGAACCATTTACAAGATATCCTTTTTTTTAATTGGAAATTTTCTATCTTTTTACTTGATATTTACTTTTGCTTACTGCATCTTGTCCTTTTACTGCCAGTTGCATTGTTTTTATTTCTTTTATTTAGACTTGAGACCATGTCTGCATCCTTGACTAGAGATTACAGTTTGCAAAAACTGAAACTTCGGAAAGGTGAGTCACATTCAAATTCTACTTTTCTGAAGAAGGAGTTAGAGGATGGATATTGGCAAGCGTTATTTAGTGGATCATCCTCAGTGGTGTCATCCTCCAATTTAGCACCTGATCCATTGCTTTCATTCCTTTGCAATGTACCCCCTGCTGAGAAGAATGAGAGTGCACAGCCTAGTTTATCAAATACAGTGACTGTAGAAGAGAAAAACTCAGATATGAAACTACTGGAAAGGTTAGGTGTTTGGTTATGCTTTATGACATCATTCACATTTGTGCTAATGTTTGTTCCTATATATATGTTTTGCTGGGGAAAAACAAATAAATTCAAAGGGCTAGTTTTTGGCAGGGTAAGTAAAAAACAATGTAATAGATGGCAGATGGTTGAAAGAATATATAAGGTTAGCTTATGTTCTGAAGCCAAAGTGTGGAAAAGAGACCCAAAGCATTTCAATGTTACAAGTGCCAGTTATTGATAATTTGCTAGTGAACGATGATGAGAAGATGGATGGATGCAATGTCATTTTATGAACTATTGGGAGAGCTATATATTATAGGATAGCACCACTGTCATTATAGTAAGCACTTGGAAATGTCTGAGTGGAAACAACAAAAGAACTCTAGGGAGGTAAATTTTCCTAAATAGGATGGGAAGGAAATATTGACAAAGCAACAATCATGGTAAACAACAAAGCCCTACATTTGATTCCAAGCTCACTGGAACCTTGAAGTTCCTGTGGTTTGATTTATTGTCTTAATGTGGGGATTCATACTAGTATGATTATGATTCTGCTAAGGTTTTCATTTTAATACCGCTACTTGATTGTTTTCTTGCAGTACCAACTCTGATAGTATTTTTATTATTGCAGGAATGATCTCCTATCGCCTTTGTCAGATGAGGAACACATGGAGAAGGCAAGGAGAAGTGAGTGCGTACAGGGACTGTTATTGTCCACTATATTTGATGATGGACAATGAATGAAACACAATATTAGCGTTGTTGGTTGTCAACTTGAGATTAAAACAAAAAGGTCTTAATTGTGAATGCTATGTTGAATATACCTTGTCTAATAGAGCTAGATTAGATGCAGCTCTGAATTGTATCCCGCAATTGTACGTAATCCATGAGGCCAGATCGGAGCCAGAATTTCAAAGCCCCTGTGCTTAATGGAAATTTAGCGTTATTCTTCTAGCAAAATCTCAAATCCCAATCAAATTCCTATTGTGTACACTTTGCCTGTATGGGAAAATCTTGTTTTGAGGATCCTGGTGGTGATTCTGCCTCTAATAATGGGGTTTTAATTGCTGGTTATGATTCATCAATGCATGGCTCTAGGGTGCTTATGACTTGCTCACAAATCGACCTGAATTATCTCACCCCGCTTGGATGGCCTCATCAACAATAAAGATACTTGATGTATATGTTCTCCTGTTAGGTGAGAAGGCACGCATACTTGATGTATATGTTCTCCTGTTAGGTAAGAAGGCACCGCAGTGTTCCATTTCTTCAATGCTGGTTTTTATTTAACAGGCTAGATACTCGATCCTTCATGCTTTATAACAGAAAGAGGATATTAGGAAGAAGCTAAAAGTATAGTGAAGGAGCACGTACCTTTAAGATGGAGGAAATACATTTAAGATTGGGACACTGACCCATATGAGAAAAAGGACCATTCTCAAAAGAACAGACTGAAAAATAACACTTGAGCCAGTAACGGAGAGCTTCCAAACACCGAAAGACTTGAGCCGGTAACGGGTTTGCTGCATTCGCCGAGTCCACTGGTGAGGGGTGGAGACTCCTTTTCCTGTGAACTGCGCCACAATACCCTCCACTTCCACACTTCATAATTATCAGGTTTTTCTGGTTCCCTCAGAAAATGAGTCATTGGAAACGACACTAATAAGTTGTGTTTAAGAATAGAAAAGTTCGCTTCATGTGATGCTGTCATTCATATCCCAATCTATCACAGAATCAAATGGATATATTTTTTAGTTCTCTGAATTTACGTCATTACATTCCGAACTGTTCTATTTTCAAGGGGTAAAGTCCTCAAAAATCCACTAAATTTACATTAGCCGTGGCGAGCATGTAAACCTACGCAGCCTAGCAAAAAAAAACTAGATCCAAATATGGCCAGCTAAAGAATGAAGTGTAAACTTCAAAGATCACCTATGACTCTGGGCGAAGCTTCCTCAATAACCATTTCTTTCGCAATTTAACATCCAGTGCCATAAAGGTCTTCGCTTTCAATTCATCCTCTAATAAATCACAGGCATCTAATACAAGGTCTTCGTCCATTTCAGGCAATGCTTGGATAGCTTCAATTACTTTCTCTATAGAGTTGGAGTTTGAGTTTTCATCCTTCCTTTTATCTGATAAAGATGAGACTGCAGTTGCCATCTCACGAAGGGCACTAGCCATGCCATCTTCATCACCGCGGAGCTTTTTGAGGGGAGCAGAATTTGATTGGTTTTCTAATCGACGTTTGTTCTTCTGTGTAGGTGCACTGGATTTTGAAGCTGTGTGAGCAGTGTCTGATATACCACCAACTTCATCTCCACTGGAATTTGATGCAGCTGGCGACTGAGAGCCCTGTGGCATTCCACAAGACTTGGCAATCTTGAAATCATTTTGCAGCTCTGCATATTGAGCAGAGAAGTAGTCTCTCTCATCACTGTCTTGATCACAGCATATCGTACACAAATCTTTATAATATGGGATAGGCCGGGTCATGAACTGCCGTGCATCTGTATGCGTCTGCATTTTATCATATCAAAGGCTTTTATAATATTCTTGCTTCAATGCCATACATAATCATCAGCAGTTACCATTTGACGAGCATCAAAGGCTTTTATACAGCTGCTGTTCAATTTAACAAGCATCAGTTGGTTATGGGTTCCAGATACAGTAAATAGACACGTACCTTGATATAGTCTTGCCAAACATAATCATCAGCAGTTACCATTTGACGAGTGTCATCCCAAGCAAACCCATCTAATTCAAGGAGATTCTTTATAACATTATGCTGCCTTCTCAGAGTTTTGAAGCGATTTTTCAAAACATCCACGTCATAGTTAAAGCCAAACCTAACATTGAAAGATGCAATCATGTCCATCCATGCTTGTTTCCGGAATACACCATCAATCTGATTTCCTTTCTGCCATTGTTCAAGCATAAGGTCAATGAAATAGCGGTCCATTGGTGGTTGCCAATATGTTCGAGTGCGGTTGCTTGCCATGCTTCCTGTGATATTTGGTGCAGCCTCTTGCACATCATCCCCTACCCCTTTTGTCATAGAATCATCCACTACTTCTGAAACACATATTCTGTAATCTTCATCAATTGTGATTTCTTGAAGAATTTCAGCAACTCCCTCACTACCAATATTTGGCTGGGTGGTTGTGACTTCTTCATTCTCAGAAGTTAGTAGCAAAGGCAGTGACTCTGGCACATTGTCACCTGGTAACCAACAATCAAGAGACAGTGACGGATTATAAAACTAAATAAATCCTTGAGTCCTTGTGATGCAGACATATTACTGTCAAAGACAGCATCAAAGTTAGATTCTTTACCTTTTTTCTCAACGGTTGGATCTCCATATATTAAGCACAAATCACTATAATATGGTATAGTTTTTATTCTGAATGCACGTGCATCTGGATGTATCTGCAACTATAACACATGAGATTTCAAGTATATAATAATTCTTTTCAATTTAGCAGAAGTGAGAAGCTTTTCACCTTAATATATTCATCCCAATCATTATTATCAGCCGTCACCATTTGTCGATTCTCATCCCAGCTGAAGCCCTTATATTCAAGGAGCTTCTTGACAGCCTTATACAAATTCCTCAGTGTTTTGTGCCGATTTTTCAAAACATCCTTTTCACATTGGAATTTGAATTTTGCATTGAACAAGTAGGTCATATGCTTCCATGCTTTTTTGCTAAATAGATGATCATCGAACTTGTTTCCATTGCTAGCCTGCTCTAGTAGAAGGTCAATAAAATAGCGATCCATTTCAGGTGTCCAAATTGTTCGGAGACGATCATTACCATTTCTGGCTTGGATGCCCATTTCAGCATTCCAAACTGTCCTGCTTATTAAAAAGTTTTTAATTAATAGTTAATGCAGAGACAATCTCTTATTTCCAGTCCCATTCCTCAAAATATACTACCAAGCATAACACAATAAAGCCATTCTGTTTTCCATGTCAACCTAAACATCCTCAATGCTTGATTCTTAGGTTATTGAAATGATAATCCATGCCCTCAAATTGATGAACACGTGCTATTGATTATAATGCACGAACATGAAGATGGTTATGGCACAATACTGTTTCTGTTCACTTAATGATACCAATTTTTCTTAAAGTAGAGGGGGAGGGGGACAGGAAAAAAATTTCATATAATAGTAAATGTTGCATTTTTATGTAACAAATCCTAGGGCTGTGTAATTGTTATAGAGAAGTTTTAAGAAAAAGGGAGAAAAACAGAAAAGGGGTGAAAGAACAGAGAGGATATACGGAAAACAAAACTTTGTAATTTTCATTCACTGATTCTTTATATTAAGAAACCGTATATAAATGCACTAAAGACTTGATTCCAAAGTTTGAGAATAGAAACTTTGAACACGCTCTACGCCAGATGTTTCCACCCCATCACTAGGACTGGTATATTAATTCCTATAGTTAAATAGGTTATAATGCCCCCTTGCTTCATTTGATCCTTGTTCCCAAGGATCATAGGTTGGGAACTTGAAATGGGGTAAATGTGTTAGCAAAGAAAGCAAGTTGAAGGCCTCTTTGCTTACTTGTCATCTTCATTATGTAGCTTGCCATCGTGTATCTACTGTCAGTTTAGGTCCTTAGAATGTGTTGTCCTTAACAAACTTTCACCTTTGCTTTTACAAAGATTTATTTCAGGCCCAAAATTCCCCACCAGGATTTAAACAGGAGGACAGTTAGATAATAAAATGTAAAAAGTCTATAAACTTCAGGCCAAACTTCGAGGACAGCAGGAGCGCCAACAAAAACTACACAGAATGTTTCATGGGCATCGTCCTAAGACCCAAATGCTGGAATTGGAAACTCTAGCTTAAAGCTTTGAACACGCTACCAAAATAATCCCGATCAATAGTGCAAGCAAGCAAGGAGGGCCATAACATAGCTCTTGTAATGAGGGGAGGAGGAAGACATTTTGAAGATGTGGCCTCTTCCCTGTCAAATGGTCCTTAAAACAGGTCTGCAAACTTCCAATGCCATACACCATGAACTCATTCAAGAGTTGCACTTGCTCCACCATAATGACACTTACACCATGAACTGATTCAAGAGTTGCACTTGCTTCACCATAATGACACTTACACCATGAGAGTTGCACTTGCTCAACCATAATGACACTTACACCATGAACTGATTCAAGAATTGCACTTGCTCCGCCATAATCACACTCCATTTGCATACTATTATCAAACTATAGTAATGTTAGCCATATTCTTCAATGCAAAAGGAACATATTCCATTAATTCTCACAAGCAAGGGCTTAGTATTCATAATCCAACTAACATGGTAAAAACAAAATGCATCTCCTCTTAGACTTGTAATCAAAACCCCACACCACTCCAAACCACTCGGTGGGTTTTTGTTCAGGGAGGAGGCCATTAGGTGCCATCTGTTAGTTACATTCAGGCCAATTCATACTGCCACGACAGATTGCAAAATCACCAAGACCAGTCACCTGGTACTTCATCTGTTCGTTCTAAGTTTACAGGCTCAAATTTATAGAACCAAGCATTTAGTTTGTGTATGTACAGATGGTTTCTGTTACGACTAAAGAAAATTACGAAATTTCCTCATCGTTTTCGATCTATCTTCTTTCCCTTTTCCTCTTCATCTTACTTAACCTGTGACAGCCCTAAAACCCTAGGACCATCTTCAACTAAGTGATATTTGAATCAAACAGAGACAGATAAAGAAGCAATAACTGTTGGGGGAGAAGGTAGGAGCACAGAGAGCCGATAAAATATTATATATATAATCTAACAGAGCATGAGTTAGAGAGAAGGAATTAGTCAAAACGCACCTGGGACGGGGAGATGTCGTGTAGGACAAAACGCACCTGGGGCGGGGAGATGTGGTGTAGGGACGGATCTCGGTCAGGGGTTTCTGCAAGTTAAATCAGGGATAGGGCTTTTCATGGATAAGGGGGGAATTGAAATAGCGTTCCCGTTGGAATGCAATGATAACCTAGATAGGGTTATCACGATTTTGACAAGCATATCACAATCCAATCAGGAAAATTAATATTCTTATTTATTTTATCTTATCATTTAATAATTCAATTAACTATCTCATAATTATGCTAGTTATTAATTATTGTCTTTCAGGAAAAATAAATATTATTTACTTAGCACCAAATAACTGGGATTCGATTAGTACATCATAAGAAATTATCTTATCTTTTGTAATTTAGATAATTGCTCTGTAATTATAATATTTATATACAATTATGTATAATTTCAATAAAAACAATTATTGTTACGTCATAAAAAAAATATTTAAGCATGAATTAATAAGTATTTATTTATACTTATTGCATCTTAAACACTATCTTATTATTTTATAAATTTAAAGACATTATAATTATGCTTTATTGAAATGTTTAGGGGAGATATTTATTAAAATTATATTCTTATTTTCTATTTGTATTTTCATTTTTCATCCCATCTCAAGTTATCATGCCATCTCATGAAGCATATATTATTGATTATCAAACAAAACCTTTTTATACATATTAATAAATTAATCAAAAAAATCTAATGAAAAACCCACAAATGAGAAATGGGTTGGATTTTTTAAAAAATTTTCTTGAGATATTTGATAAAACTTGGATTTAATTTATTATAATTATAATTATTAAAAAAACTAAAATATGTAAAAAAAAAAACTAAAATATGTGGGATGTAGAAGCTACTGTAACTTTCTTTATAAAATGTTTTTTAAAAGAAAACTAATTTTTTATTGATTAATTTATTAATTTACAAATTAATTTAAAAATATAAAAAGGCAAGTAGTCAGGTGTGACTATTAAAACATATAATACGTTAACACATGCACAAACCTTAGCAATTATGCAATAATTAAATAATGCAAGTTATGGTTTTTTTAGGGATGAAATTGAAACCCTGGTGGTTATAAAACAAATTAAATAATCAACGTGACCCCAATAAATAGGGTCATGTTTGGTTGGAAACTTTTATCCATGTCCTTTACTGAATATTTTCAGCCTTGAAAGGTCAAACTCAGCATAACGCCATTCTAATACGATCATCAAGCGCCGTGTGTTACATAGACACTGAAGATTGCACTCATATTCTTAAATAATAATAATAATAAATAAAAAGAAAACAAATATTTGTCAGCATTCAATAAACAAAACCAGTTTGGTTTTGCTGCAAACTGTCAATAAGTAAACACTAAACTATTTTAATGTGTTTGGAATTGAGTTTTAGCCTATTTACCAAAAAAATTGAATTATTTTTTTGCTTTAAATTAATTTTTTTAATATTTTTAAATTATTTTAATGTGCTAATATTAAGAATAAGTTTCAAAAAATAAAAAAAATATTTTAATATATTATTAAGTAAAAAAGCACTTTTAAAACCAATTTTTACCACTCTTAAACATTTATCGGTGATGACTAATAGACTACAATAATTTCTTTGAGTTTTTGTTTTGTTTTCTAGCATAGTAAAAAAAATTAATAAAGTACTTTAATGTAGAAAATATTTGGAGATATAGCATAGTTTCACCAATTACGAATGGCAATTGCGATTCTCATGTCATAATTGTCATCAAAACCTCTTATTTTACATTTTTCATATATACAAATCACAAATGTTGTCTATAACTTCGTTTGAGATTTAAACTAACTTCGTTTGAGATTTAAACTTTGAGACTTTTTTTTTTATATATATATCCTTGTTTCCACCCCCTCTCTCTTCTCTTACAACTATTATCCTTCTCCCCTCACCAAATTCAATGACCTTCCTCTCTCTCTCTGTCTTTCTTTCTCTCTCTTTATAGCCAAAAAACACCCACAGTGGCGCAACATCACCCATCTCTCTCTCTCTCTCTCTCTCTCTCTCTCTCTCTCTCTGTGTGTGTGTGTGTGTGCTTCTAGATTGTAGGCCATCTGTCTCACTCTCTAGCGCAACTCATTAATTTTCTAGCCAAAACATCTATCATTAGTCACCATCATCACTCACATTCTATATTTAGAGGTATGTTGAACATTTTCCCTCTATCAATTTAATGTAGTTTATGCTAATATGTGTTAATTTGATTTTATAAAATGTTAAGATTTTGAATTAAAGATTAGGTTAGTTAGATATGACTTGAGTTGATAATTATGTTATTAGATAAAATAATCAATGACTTTGGGTTGTTGTTCATTGTGAATCGACAAAATTATTTTGAAAAAGTTAGTGTTAATTAGATTAAATTATGGATTATACCGAATTACATATAAAATAATAAAAATGCATGAATTTGATTAATAATTTTGTTATGATAGCAAACTTTTATGAATGTAGGTGTATACCGATTAATTTGATGAATTTAAGTTTTATTTGATTATATTACTGTCATTTAAGTTTTATTTGATTATATTACTGTCATAGCTCTGTTGATAAATTATACACTTTGATTAACCTCAATATATTAATAAATTAAAAGTGTATTTTGTTATGTTGTCTGACATAATATTTTGTAATTTAAGAATATTATGCTTCTATGATGGTATCATTATAAATACTGAAAATGGTATCACTTATAATGAAAGAAGTCATGAATTCCTAATGGCTACATCAGACATGTTCTTTAACAATTTATTTAGAATGTTTTGTGATTGACCTAGTTGGAATATGTTTGAAATAGAAGTTGAAATTACTTAGAGGATATTGCAAACTAGGGCCAATCAAGCTCGTTATATCGATGTATCAATATTTAGTGATGAGAGTATGAATTCAATTTTTGGATTTGTAGGGATTAATATGTTGGAGTTATACTTGAATAGTAGATCTAGACAATAAAACTCTTTTAGTATGGAGTTGACTCGAGTTTCAAATAATTGTTAGAGAACCATAGGGCATCATGAGTGACTAGTCCATTTAGGTTAAGTGGTAATACAAGTAAACAAATATTAGTATAGAAAGTTATTAATACATAATCTTAACTAGGTATGACATTTACTTCATATTGCTATGGAGAATCTGAACTAAGTGATGAGAAAGATGACCGTCACATTGACAAAGTTGAGGTTGAGGAGGGAGATGAAGATTCTGAGTTAGTTGAGCCTATCACTCAATACATAACTTTTCCTATTTATAAATTTGAGGTTATGAGTATAGATGACCAATACGGATGTAATGACTAGGCTAACAATAATAGGTATTTGGACTTATTAGTTGATGAATTAAAGATTGGGAAAAAATTCAGAGATAAGTCTGAATATATTAATATGATAAAACAATAACATATAAAAAATTTATTTTAGTACACGGTTCATCATTCAACTAAAACTTATGTTCAATTGCATTATATTCAAGAATTAGTTTGTAGATGATATTTACATGGAGAGTATCACCAAAGGTTTAATTCATAAGAAGTTTCAAAATTAAAAGGGTCACAATTATATCGAAACCTTTTCATTTTATAACGCCATTATCAGATTGACTCAGATCTAATTGTTGAGGCAATGTTGACAACTGTTATCGCATATGTACGACATCACAATGATCATCCTTCTAGATTAGGGTTATTGAGGTAGATGTGAGTGTAAATGATAAAAAAAATATTATCCTTTATCAATAAAAAAAATAGTAAAAGGAGGCACCGCTTAGTATTATAAACACTAGAAAATCTAATGGTCTATAATAATCTGGGTAAGGGGACTGGTTGTACAAAGAAAAGATATATAAACCCCAATGCACCCTACTTATGGTCTACTTTGTTGTTTGTTCTAAATCGCGTTTATATTCATTAGTCTATCTATGGTTCGAGAAAAGTCTTTCTCAATAAGAAAATTTTTATCTCATCAGGTAAAAACCTAATCATTCTAAAGTTCAAAATAGTTCATCCAAGGTTTAAGAAAAGTTATCCTCAATAATGAGATTCTTATCTTATCGAGTCAAAACTTAACTATTCTAAATGTCAAGAAATAAAAAGATTTTTATTTGAAATTTTGACCAAATTCTAATGGATAATCGCAAACTTCTAATTTTTTTTCATAAGAAAACAAACATGAAAATTTCAAAATCTATTCGCATACAAGCATTTTTTTTTTCTATTTTTGAAATGAGGGAATTTTTTAATTCTTTTTGGATTTTTTGTGAATTTAAGAGAAAAACATGTATTTTTTAATATTGGGTTCATATCTTACAATATAAGTCTATAGCCTAATATTAAAAAAAATCATTGGAAAAATATATGAAGGACTCATAAATAAATTCAAAATGATCCCTGAATGTTTTTTAAAAAATTTGAAAAAAAATTAAAGGTCTTTTTACGAGATAATAAAATGAAGATAAGTTAAAAACTAACAGAAAGGCATAAGGGTTTATTTGTCAAACACATCCTTAGCCTAAAAATTGGGTTGGTTAGGCCTTAAGCCCAAGGAAGCTATTTTGTTGGGTCGACTGAAGGTCTAATTATTTTTTTATATATATAAGGTTGGGTTGGACCTAGCTTAGTTATGTAGGCAAAGCTGAGGATCCAACCCATCTTACGCTTTGCTAGAAAAAGCTAAAAGCTGCAAGACATGAATTTATTCATATTTTTCATGCAATAAAAAGGTAGAGTGTACAAGGAGAAAGATTACCTGACTTGAGGGCGTTGTTTGGCTGTCGTTGTTAGTCTACCTTAAAGTAGTGGAGATGCTAATGGATACTAGAGTGATTTATTGTTGGTATGTAAGGAAGACCACCTTTGTTATTGTTGTTATGCATGGTCAAAATAGAGAACAGGGAGTGCAGGATGATGCAACTCTAGAATTGGTGGTCTAGCATTCTTGTTGGTAATGTAGGTGATGGTACGACCAAGGAGGGAGGCATTGGCTTAGTGTTCTCTACAGAAATAAAAGCTAAAGTTGTAAAGGTGTTGAGTTGTTGTTGGTCATGATGTAGAGAAGATGATGTTACTGAAAGGAAAAACACTACCGGTGGTAAAGAGAAGATTGTTATTAGAAATGCAGCTT